CTTGGGATAAAGGAAAATCAAACGCCAATTTCAAAATTTGGTTTTGCGCATGCGCAGTGCCAACTTTTTTATTTATGGAAGAATTTAAATGAAATTTGATACATAGGCACTTGGAATAAAGGAAAATCTAGCGCCAGTTTCAAAATTTTATTTTGCGCATGCGCAGTGCCAACTTTTTTATCTATGGAAGCATTTAAGTGAAATTTGATACTTAGGCGCTTGGAACAAAGGAAAATCTAACATTAGTTTTAAAATTTAGGTTTGCGCATGCGCAGTTCCAACTTTCTTATTTAGAAAAGCATTGAAATGAAATTCTTCTCATAAACTGAAATTGAAGTAACACGTCAAAAATGGATTGCCCATGTGCAACGCTATCTTTCATATTTGTGGCCGGATTTTTACGATTTTAACAGAAGTTGCATCTTATAAATGGGAAATGAATGCAAGTGGAAATGCGCTTTATGTAAATCGTTTACTTGTTATTGTAGTGGTAGCTACTTCCACTTTACTTTTATTTTTTAATTAAGTACTTACTTTTATAATTTAATGTACTGTACATAATTCGTGAATTGTGACCTGAGCAGCCAGTTTGTTGGTAGGTAGCATAAACTAACCCTTCCTTCGAAACATACGTTGTCGAGAAAAATCCTTTAAGGAAGTTTATCGGAGAATTTGTAAATAATGGTGAGCAGTTAAAGATCCATCGAAGATTACCGGTCCAATTACATGACTTCCCATTATGCCATAAAATACATTAATTTATAAAAATATTACTTGATTTCGGCGTGAATCTACAACATGTAGGTTTTCCTGTGACGAGTAGTGTTCATAATGTCGATACACTTCGCAGTTAGAAAAATAAGATTTATCTGTCCATATACTCGGACTGGTAAAACTGTTAGTTTAGATATTCTTGCGGATAAACCACCTACAAAATGTGACCTGGGACAATGCATCAATGGTAATACATTGTGTAAAATAAAGCGAAGTGTCTTGAAATGTCTTTAACTGGATAATTGCATGACTTTTTTTGAGGGGATAGTTTGTAGTTATACCACCACTTCTAGGTATGTAAGTATGGATAATAAGTCAATAAGTGATGTTATAAAAATCAAATTTTTCTAGACCGCTTATATAAAATTTTGGAGGGAGTTGTAATGCCCAAACCCCCCTCTCATTAGTGCGTCCCTGATTTTTTTAAACATCTGATGTAATTATTTTCATTGTTTTGTTGCCTCGAATAGATGTTGTTTTGTTTTTTTTTAATTCATCACAGCCTACTTGATTAAAATATAAAAACCGTTGATATAGCTGGTATCTTATTTTCTATCTTATGTTATGGTGGCTCGTTGAAAAGAGAATTAAAAAATCTATCAAGTAATCTAAAAATGCCATATGGCGCCTATTTAACTTTAGGAAGTTGGTAAATGTTCCTAAAAAATAGCCATCTTGAATTTTTTTGACATCAATTCTAAATTAAACGTATCAAAGACAGTAACTTTTATATAAAACTTTTTTTTTACATCTCTTATACTTTCGATTTCGATACATTCAAGGAAATGACCAATTTTAGTTTTTTTGAATTTACGTCGAACCTATGCGACATTTTGAATTTCCAAAAGGAAATTTTAAATAAGCATCTAAAACTACAAAACATTGCCCATTTAACCAATTCTCTATCCTTAATAATAACAAAGTTACCCATGCAATCCCACCCGATCTGGGACACACTGTATATGCAAACTTTAGGTAGTATGTAGCCAATGTATGTAACCTATACCTACTTGCCAAATAAATCTGCAAAAATTTGAGTCATAAAGTGCACTAAAAGAAATCACAGGGGTATTAAATTAACGCATTGCCTAGGTTTTTGAGTATGCTCTTTGTGATTTTGTAAACAATGTCCTAAAATTCTACCCAATTCTACCCAATAGGACGGAACTCCTAAGCGTGTGTGCGGAAAATTCTGATCTTGACGAAATCCGGTATCTGGTATCTACGAACGTGAAAATAACAAGTAAGAAGGTATTCGCTCTAAGGCGAGTAGCCATATCTTTTATGGTAGAGGAATTATGATCTGAGGGGTCTTAGATGCTACAGCATGTATAAACAAAACTTCATAAAATTAATACCATTTTTGTGGTCTGTCAAGATTTGCAGTTCGAAATTTTTGCAAAACTAATTTGAAAATATCATGTTTAAGATATTCGTGATTCAATATTTAGGAAACTGATCTAGCATGCCGTCATTGAATAAAATCATTTTTTATTCAATGATGCCGTGCAGTGGCAGGATGTACGGTGTCTGTTGTGTTACACGTATTGCGCTAAATAAATCTTTAAAACAAACCTCGAACAAGTTGATGTAGGTAGTTTCTGTGTGATATGACACACGGCATGCTAGATTTTACAAGTTTTCCAAATAATGAATTACGAATTTCTCCATTTTTTTATACAGGGTGACAATTTGAAAACTTACCACCCCCCATATCTTAGTAAATAAACGAGATATTTAAAAAAATCAAAATCCGTTTCGGTAATTCGGAGGGGGAATCACAATGACATAGTTGGCGACGCACCCCCTCCAACCCCCTGCGCCCCAGCCACCCCAACTTTTAAATCTTAAATAGTGACCCCCCATGTGTGATACGTCGTTGGAAAGCTCTGAAAAAATGCTTTCCAACCATACCAAATAGCATTACATTTAGGTTAGTAATTATCGTGCAAATCAAAAAATAAACATGGAAAATCGTATTTAACTTGAACTTCCAAAGCCGACTCGATAGCAACTCATTTTCGATCGCCAGTTATAATCTATCCTCAAACTCTTGTCGAACCTTTTCAAATGTTGGTTTTGCAATATTTCGACATTCTTGAATTATTCTCTGTCTTCGTTCGTCTATGTTCGCCGGTTGCGTTTTAAATACGACAGATTTCAAATGTATCATATTAGTTTATTTTTTGATTTGCACGATAATTACTAACCTAAATGTAATGCTATTGGTATGGTTGGAAAGCATTTTTTCAGAGCTTTCCAACGACGTATCACACATGGGGGGTCACTATTTAAGATTTAAAAGTTGGGGTGGCTGGGGCGCAGGGGGTTGGAGGGGGTGCGTCGCCAACTATGTCATTGTGATTCCCCCTCCGAATTACCGAAACGGATTTTGATTTTTTTAAATATCTCGTTTATTTACTAAGATATGGGGGGTGGTAAGTTTTCAAACTGTCACCCTGTATATGAACCATATTCGTATTTTATGTTGTACAGTAAATTGATTGTTCTATTCAATATCCTAAAAACATAGGCATGCTACTTGAAAAACAAAAATGGCATCGATTTCCGGTTAAACCGGATAATTTGCTCATAACTAAATTTATTAAAGTTGGCTTGTAAGATTTTTACGGCAGGTACATGTTTTCGAAAACTAAAATTTTCAGAAATGACGCCATTTTTATGCGAAATTGTTTGTCTTTTTGGGACGTTTCCAGCACCTCGGCAATAGCACTCCCCCCGCGGTTTTATGTTTTCTATCCTGCTCTTAAACGCAGTCCAGTTCTTCTTCCTGAAAAAAAATGTGCTGAAAACGATTGAATAAAGTTTACCAATGTTTGACGCCCAGACGTGCCGTAACCGGAAATTACAAACCGGAAATGGAATGGTTTTTGGCTCATAACTAAGTTAGAATTGCTTTTAGGAAAAACAATTGTTCTATGGGAAATTAAAGAGCATGAAAATCCCTACAAAATGTACATAGGTACATAACACATATTTTAGATTTGGAGCAGTGGTTTAGGCGCAATGTATGTATTTATAGAGTCACTGTTGAATTCGATTGCAAACTAAGCGTCAAAACACACAAACAAGTATAAATTGTGCACAACTCTTGTACAGATAAAGCGAAAGCGCATTTTTTTTTAACAGAAATAGCTTTTGTTTTGACATCACAAATGGATACATTCCTTGCAGACGTCTCAATCGCCCTTTGTGAGTACCCTCTTCCGACAATCCGTTCTTGAGGTATAAGGGAATTAAGTTTGTACAAACCAATTTATGTCGGTGAGACCTTTCATTAGAATACCATGAAGGGTAGAACATGTGTTTACCCCCTCCCCCTCCCATTTTCTAAAGTTTAACTTGGCACCACTAAAGGCATGCGTATGCAAAATCTCAGACCAATTGGGTGTCGTATGTAAAAGTTATGCACGTTTTACTTTCAAAAACAGCATCTCAGGAAATAATTCGTGGGGGGGGGGCCCTTTTAGACAGCGAAATTTGATGGCCGTCTGGCACACCTTCAAGGCATAGGCTACCTACTGCAAAAAATTCCACGACTCTAGGAACATTCCCCTAGAAGTAGTTCAAAACGGTAGAAGTGGGTCCCGACGGACGGACGGACGGACAAAACGCAAACAATAGCACATTTTTTTTAATTCTTAAAAAATCGCTAAAAATAGCAACCACAAATACGAGAATTGCAAAACAGCTAGGCGCAAAATTCTAATTAAGGAAATAGCGTTTATGGGTCTGCAGTAGGTAATTCCGCAATTCCATTTACGTAAGAAATAAGTAAGTACGTTGCAGCAATACAATTGCACGAGATGTGATACTATCCTAATTTCCCCCATTTTCACACAGTTGCACGCTAAATGGATCATTCATATTAAATGTATGTAAAGTTTAGGTACCTACGTGAGTGAAGCTTCTTCGGAGTTCTAGACTATAAAACTTATTTCGCAATTTGCTTCTCCAAGGTTGCTTAATTGAGAGCATGGTTTACTGCCAAAGTGAAATTCATCCGCATTGAATACTCGATTTTTTAACTCGAAGATTGTAGATACGTAAGCTCTGTTGACCTAGCTGGCAGTGTGCCATTTCAGGGTCACGGTAACCACTGCAGATATCACTGCGATCTTTTAACAGACCTCGATTTTAAACAAGCAGCAATTTTTTATAATTTACGTAATTCGTGCAACATTACATGGTCGTTTTTTTTTCAGCCGCACGGAAAGCTCTACGAAAGTTTTAACGTGTTCTGCCCCTGCGATCAATTAGAACATCTGGAATTACTGCAAACCGAGGACATGTTACTAGAATGGAATGAACCGATGTACCTTAATTTTACACATAGCTTAATTATGGATCGAATAGAAGAATTTTATTCTGGAAAGGGAACAATCGAGAAAGTGTGTGGCGAAGTATTTGCATTAAATGGCATTAAAAGTGCCGATAGCGACTTGTAAGTACCTTCTATCATCATCACGTACGCATCCTTTACTTTTACGAGGCAATTAGGATCGCATCTCGTAGTCATTATTTGTTATTCTTTAATTATCTTCCTTAAGCGTAAAAGCTCTTAATATAGTTATTTAGGTGCGCTTATACTAGATCCTTATCTAAAAGTTTATGAAACGTTGTATAGACCGAAGCTGTACAGATTTAACGACCTCTAATTAAACTTTGGAAAAATGTGGATAACATGCCATGGGGTTGCTTGCGAGGGACCCGTTTAAGTGAAACTTATTTTATAAATAATTTATGTTAGTATTTTGTTAATTACCTACACTTGCTTAATAAGGGTAGTTTAGTTTCTCAGTAACGTAAGTGCAAAACTCTTTGCAAGGCAACCAGCACCACTAAAGGCTTAATTTTATAAATTGCCACTTACATTAATGAACCCGTTTAATTAGAGACTTGTTTAAAAGGAGGATAATCTCTATCTGCAAGCCCACAATGTTCCCGTGCATTCAGGACATCTCCCTGATAAAAATTACTTTGTTCCTTTGTTAAAGGTATAGATATTGGTTCTGATGCGTCCACATACGGAAATGGGTATGGGTTTCAATTTCAATAAGCTTATGAACGCATCAGAAGGCCTGTAACGAGGAACAAATAACTAACTGTTAATTTTAAGTCAGTGTCAAATAATTGTATTGATGTCTAGTTAAAAATCCCAAATTCGTTAACTTCAAACGCCACTTTTAGGATTGCGCATTCGTATCCTATCCCTGACCTGGTTCAGAATTGCATCCGGGAACAAAAATAAACGTGTAAACAAATATAGAAAACGAGCTCCTGGGTACCTATGACTATAGCATGTACAAAACCAAATTTTGAACTTGGTGTTAATTTTGCCTTTATTTAAAGTGAATATGTAGGAAATTTCATTTGTTGACAGATTGTGTCAATTGGTTTTACGCAGATCTCATGGGAACCATAACAACGAAAACTACCTACTATGTTTTTTGCAGATGCTTAATAGTTATTTATGTATTAAGGGCATAATAGTGATGTTTATATTCTCGAGGGCGACGAGTTAAAAAGCTCGAGGGCCTATGGCCCGAGAGCTTTTTAGTCGCCCGAGAGTATAAACATCAGTTTATGCCCGTGGTACATACACAATTTTATGTTTTACAAATAGTTTTCTTCGTCAAAATTCGTTTACAAAATAATTCATTATGTTTGATCGAGTATGCGTGGTTCGAATTTGTGAATGCGATTGAAACCATCCAAACGTCAAACGTAATTTTAAATAATTCAATTCATCGTGAATGAGCAAGAAGTTCCAGAAACTATACGAAATAAGGCCAATCTTGTGATTTAGTAGGTACCTATTGACAATTAATAATTGACGTTTCTAATTTTCAATGATCTGCAAATATTTGTTTGTTTTGTCATTAAGCATAAATGAGTTACTATGGTGATACTTTACGCCCTAGGGCATAAAGTGGTACTTTATGCCCGCGTATCACAGATATAAAATGTGCTATGATAGGTTAGTAAGACATAAAATAGTATATTATATACCGCGGGACTGAAGTAGTACGGTCTATTCAGTATATCTTCCGTTGCACGTCATTACCTGAAGAAAACGACGTACCAACGTAAACTTACTTTCGTTTATTAGGCAACACATTAAGCATGTAGTTTATTTTAGCCGCAACAATTGGTAGCATTTCGCTATGTTGTCGTGTTTAAATTTGTAAATTTGACAGGTTGCTTTTGGTTTACTTTTCGTTTGATTTGATTTTGATTATTTTCTACGTCTTTCGCTGTGCATTGGTTTGAAGAGAAATTAGATAACCCGTCAGTAATTGTGTTCGATAACGGGAAAAACAGACAACATTAAAGTGTGGTTAGGTGATCATAATGTGCAGTTCTCCGAAAATGATTTTATTTGTTACTCAGTTGTAAACGTTGATTAACAAGACAAAACGCAAACGGGTAAACGTCATGTTTAAACGCTACTGACTTGTAAAACTGACAGCAGACTTGTAAAACTGACAGCAGACCTGTAAAATTTTACAAGTTAGTAATCTAGTAATTTCATTGGCCAGAATTAATGCGAAGTCTCTGTTACATGGATAATATGATATTTTAGACATTTCTTCAAGATTAATTTAAGAACTAATATTATTTACGTTTACTATTGTTTACAAATGAGTAACAAATAAAATATTGTACATTATACGCCAGGTAATAGTTTTTACTGGCTCTAGGAGATGACAAGCTCGCCTAACGGCTCGCTAGTCAACTTCTCCTATCGCCAGTAAAAACTCACTTACCTGGCTAATAATGTAAAATACTATTACAGCCGAACTGTTGAAAAGGTTGCACAGTAAGTACGTTCGCAAATTATTTGATGTTATATAAATCTTGTTGATACTTTTAGGATTAAATCAGCTAAAATGTACTGCATAAGGCATTGACCACTTAGCTGAGCAATACGGTTACTTCGTTTTACGATTACCACCCTATCATCGCGTTTGTAATCCTATCGAACATATTTGGGGCATAGCGAAAAATTACTACAATCGACACATTGGTAGAGATGGACGAAGCATTGAAAATTGCATAAACATGTGACAAGAATCACTACAATGGATAACTTCCGAAACGTGGCGCAATTCAGTTAAGGATACGGAAACTGTAATACACGAGTGGTACGAAAGAGAAAAGCAATTAGATCTTGAAAACGTTGCTACTATTATTATAAACTTTGAACACGAAAGCAGTTCCGATGATTCCGATTAATTTGAATATCATCCCATCCTCAGAGGAATATTATTCCTCTGAGATCCCATCACATCACATAACCTGTAAAATTTTATATTTGGTACTTTCTCTGTAAAAGAGATGCTACATTTGTACAGTTCATAAGTTATTAAAGTATATTGTATGTATATTGTGGTTCCAATTAACGAAATGAATAATAAAAATTATTTTTATTTTATTTAAGGTGTGGATTGTTCACACAAAGAATGCACTGTCTTGTTGACAAGCAGTGTTCCCACCATTTCGCTTACAATATTCCCTTCGACTATACCAAAAATTCCCTTTTAGCTACCAAAATTCCCCATCTTATTTAAAAAACACACACCTAAAAAAAAACTTTATTCTGTTAAACAACCTTTTTGTACTTCATAAAATGAACTCAACTATTTTCCATAGAAAGTTCGTGAAAAACCGCCTAAGAATTGTTTTTTTACGGAGTTATCAAATGTGCGCGATTTTTTTCAATATTTTTTTAAGAGCTATTATCAACGTTTTCATTTGGTGTATAACTTATTTTCTCGAAAAACAACCTTTCAGAATTGGTACCGCAAGAAGTACCCGCAGCGCCTTAAGTCATATGACCTGAGGCGGCAGACGATCGATTTTAGCATACTCTGATAGGGCAAAATGAAACTCCATCGGTTAAAATTTTGATCATTCTCGTTCAGTGGATTTCGTGCTAGCTCCCCTACTAGCTATACAGCACTCGTGGAAAACTAAATCACTCACTTGTGTGTCGTTCCACACTCGGCTACGCCTCGTGTGTAATCTCGACACACACGTGAGTGAAACTTTTAGTTTCTCCACTTGTACTGTAATATACTATTAATTGCTTCCATAAATAAGAAAGTTGGTACTGCGCATGCGCAAAACCAAGTTTTGAATCGGTCGTTAAATTTGCTTTTATTCCAAGTGTCTACGTACATATCAAATTTAATTTAAATACCTTCATACATAAGAAAGTTTACAATTCGGTTTATATATGGTCGAGATGCGAAGAGGGCACTGTGAATGCTGATCAATTAGGCTCAACTTTTGGAATTGCGTTTAATATGGCTAAAGCTATGCGCATATTGAATTTCATGCAATTCGGTTCATAACTAACGGAGATGTCAAAAGGGCCTTCTTTATTTTTTGGCCTACATTCCCAATTCACGAACTCCGGTCTAAAAATTTGATAAAGAATCCACCTACAAAATTTCATCGTAATCGGTCCATTCGTTATCGAGATATCGTGCTAACGGACAGACACCGCAAAATTATAAACTCGCTAGGAGCTCGTTAATAAGCTAAAATGTCGACATTCCCGGCAGCGTATTGCCAATGTATTGTACAACACAGAGCGGTCCATTTTCTGCGGGGCTCTATGATTTGGCGATAGGTGTCTGGCAATCCATCGTTCGCTATAGATCACATGATAATGACATTACTCTGAAATGCACAGTATTTTTGTAGTGGATACGAATGTGTGTATTCGAAACTCTGTTTCGTTGTCGCCTATCTTTGAATAAAGTATTATCATTGAAGGAGGAAGGAGCTATGTATTAGGCGTATTCGTTTCTGGTGATTTTGTGATTTATAAATCACAATCAGTTTCAGTGATTGTTAAGTCAAGAAAAAATGACATTATTAAGGATCTTCAGAGCCTTGATAGTTTTGTATTTCTTTTCGGTTCGTCCGTCCGCGTGCGCTATAACTCATTTTAAAAGTGTACTGATCGTGATCGTGGTGTACCTACGGGTGCTTTGGACATTAAGGAGGTCGGGCGCTACTCGTATGGATGTTCAGGAAGCTGGCTCATCAGGAACAAAAGTTATAGGACTTCAAATTCAAAACAACTCCTCTCTCTGTGGTTTAGGTTAAAAGTTTTGGAGCAAAATGTACCCACAATTATTCTTTTCACATGAATTTGGAGCGTTCAATCTTGATGCCTAGAGACTAGGTACATCACATGCACATTTGATAACTGCGCGTATGTTTGATTCAAAGATGTTAAATTATTTTTTTGGGGCAACATATTGTATTTTAATCAAATTATGTCAAAATCGTTATTCTTGGACCCAGATCGTTGGGAAAAATACCAAGAGCATTATTTCGATGCTCAAGACACGAATTTGATGGCCCCATGGATTTTGATCAAAACATGTGAAAATCGTTAGTCTTGCACCGAGATCATTGGGAAAAAGACTAAAAGCATTATGTCAATGCACGAGACATGAATTTGATGGATTTTTGTGGACCATGTGTATTTTGATCAAAATATATCAAAATCAATATTCATGCATCAAGATCGTTGGGAAATGGACCAAGAGCATTATTGCGATGCCCTAGACACAAATTTGATGCATTTCTGGTGACGTATTTTGCAAGGTGGAAATTGGTCGTTAAAAAAGTGGTGGTAATTCTGAGGATCCTTCGATATTTCGTTGTATCGGTTTATTATACTACCACTTTTCAAAACAGAAATAAAGATGCTCTTGGTCTTTTTGCCAACGATCTTGGTGTATAAATAACGATTTTGACATGTTTTGATCAAAATGCATGTGGCCGCCATAAATAGAGCAAATTCATGTTTTGGTCAATGAGATAATGCTCTTAGTCCTTTTCTCAACGATCTTGGTGCATAAATAACGATTTTGACATTTTTTGATCAAAATCCACCTGGTCCCCAAAAATGCATCAAATTCATGTCTTGAGCATTGAGATAATGATGCCCCATAGTCTTTTTCCCAGCGATTTTGGGGCATAAATAACGATTTTGACATATTTTGATCAAAATCCATGTGACCTCAGAAAAATAATTTAACATCTTTACATCACACACATGCGGTTATCAAATGTGCACGTGATGTACCTACTCTTTCCGCATCAAGATAATGCGTTTGAAAGATTTTTAAAACTCCAAATTCATGTGTAAAAAATAATTTTGGGTACATTTTGCATTTGCTCTAAAACTTTTTACCTATACCACAGAGAAGAGTTATATTGAATTGTTACAGCTTCCTGAACAAGCTTCCTGAAAATCAATAGCGTCCGTCCTTAATGTCCAAAGTACATAGGTACTTACCCGTTCACCAAATTTGAACACAATCGGCCACTTTTAAAAAGAGATAGAGCGCACACGGACGGATGACAATACAAAATTATACAGGATCTGAGGATCCTTAATAAATATTGAGAAATCGGTTGGCTTGCATGTTATTCGACGTAATTATAGAAGCGCAAACAACAAACACGGATGATAGGACGAAAGTATTGTCAATTTTCAAAGTGTTTTTTTAGTACAATAGATCTCGAGTTAAAAGCGAATTAATATAAAATTAATACCTTTCGAGGACCGAAATCGTCGTGAAAATGAAACCTTCATTTTCATGCCTACTTTATGTCAGAAAATTTTAGTTTCCATGACAGTGGCAGTAAGTAATACTTTATCTGACTACTTATCCTGCCTCTTGTCACTTTACCAGACTCCGTCCAAAACGGACACATTAATATTGATAAAAAGTTTTATGTGGGATTTTATACGTATATACAAAAGACAATTTCGGAAAAATTTAATACAAAATCTGTCAATAAAATATGTCATTTTCCCGACTTTTCTGAATATTGAATGACGACGGCAGCATATATCGATTAGTTCAACTTATTCAAGTCAGTTACTATTTCATTAGTCTTTCCAAATTACAGTGGTTTATCACGGGTGATAATTTATACTTCCAGCATCAACACCCTCGTCTCGCAGGGGTCGTAGAAACAACAAGTTAAAAAGTAATCGTAAACGATTTACATAAAGCGCATTTCCACTTGCATTCATTTCCCATTTGTAAGATGCAACTTCTGTTAAAATCGTAAAATCGCCACAAATATAAAAGATAACGTTGCACATGGGCAATCCATTGTTGACGTGCTACTTCAATTTCAGTTTATGAGAAGAATTTCATTTCAATGCTTTTCTAAATAAGAAAGTTGGAACTGCGCATGCGCAACCCAAAATTTTAAAACTAATTTACTATAACTAACTAATAAACTAAGATTTTCCTTTGTTCCAAGCGCCTAAGTATCAAATTTCACTTAAATAGTTCCATAGATAAAAAAGTTGGCACGGCGCATGCGCAAAAAAAATTTTGAAACTGGCGCTAGATTTTCCTTTATTCCAAGTGTCTATGTATCAAATTTCGTTTAAATTCTTCCATAAATAAAAAAGTTGGCACTGCGCATGCGCAAAACCAAATTTTGAAATTGGCTTTTGATTTTCCTTTATCCCAAGTGCCTATGTATCAAATTTCGTTTAAATTCTTCCATAAATAAAAAAGTTGGCACTGCGCATGCGCAAAACCAAATTTGAAATTGGCGTTTGATTTTCCTTTATCCCAAGTGCCTATGTATCAAATTTCGTTTAAATTCTTCCATAAATAAAAAAGTTTGCAATTCGGTTTACAAATGGTCGAGATGCGAAAAGGGCACTGTGAATTTTGAATCGATTCGATTCAACTTTTGGCATTGCGTATTATATGGCTAAATCTATGCCCATATTGAATTTCATGCAATTCAGTTAATAACTAACGGAGATGTAAAAGCGATCGAACATTTCTAAACAAAGTTATCGTTCACACGGACAGATAGATGGATAGACAGACAAAGGAACAGACGGAGAGACCAACCGGCAGGCGACAGATAGCAATGCAAAATTATAAACGATCTCTAGGATCGTTAATAAACGGCAAAAGTGTAAAATTATGGAACATGTAAAATAGTTATTTGTTTCATTAGTAGAAAAAATGTCAGTTTTCGGGACGAGGAAGATAGTTGCTGGACGACGCGTCAGCGGAGTCCAGCAACCTTCCGAGTCCCGAAAACGCATTTTTTGTACGAATAAAACATAAAATTTTTTCTCCAACCTCCTTTACTTCAAATTATATTCGAATTTAGATTCAGTCACAGTTTCACTACTAGTATAAGAACATCTGCTTTCTTGTTCTCACGTGTCATGCCACTCTAGTTTTTAGGTTAACTTATAACCTATTCGTTGTTACTTCTTACTTCTCACCTCTCGTGACTTTGTAGGGAGCAAATCTTGAGGTAGCATGTTCTGCCGTTTCTATAATCTCTGGCGGAGTGCAATCCATGTCGCTATCAGTTTCAGTCATTTCTATTGTATACACAATTAAAATTGTTATATTTTGTATTGAAATAAAAAACTTACCATACAGTTTTTAAATTAAAATTAATTGCAATTAACTTTTTCAAATTTTGATTTCAAAATGACAGATAATAGTGCAATGGGTCTGAAGTAGATGGCGTTACGCGCGACGGCGGGTTGTATACGTATTAAAATTACGTTCACTGAATATGTAAATTACGTTACACATGGTTTAAATAAAAATAGCGAGCGTAAATCATTTTCAATACATGTACAACGTATAGGTAACAGCATTATTTGCATTCAATATGCAAAAATATTTGATTTGTATGTATAGAAATATCTTACAACCTGCAATGTAAACCGATGTCAATGTGACATATCTCCGTGATTGTAATTTTTTAATTGGTCAACTTTCAAGGTCAATTTCTTTTTGGTACTAGGACCAAAAGTATCCACTTTTTGTAGTACAGTTGCCATGGTGAAAGCGATTAATCCGCAAAACGTCAATTTTACGTACCGAACACCGTCACAAAATAGCGTCTTATTCAGGTGGTTGGAGAAAAAACGGTTTTTTGTTTTTTTTACAATAACTTCTTTTGTAAGCGGTACAGAAAAAATTCCTTCCTTGGTACAAGACTCGACACCATAACGAACCAAATAGCGAAAAAAGTAGAACAATAGCTCTTAAGATAAAAAACTAGTAGCGTCGCAAAGTTAGCGGACGGACGGACGGACGGACGGACGGGCGGACGGACGGACGGACGGGCGGACGGACAAAGTGGCCACAATAGCGCATTTTTTTTTTATTTTTGTGGAAATGCGCTAAAAATTACCTAGTGGACTAGTGGTAGAAATCATTAAAGCGGAAAGAAAGAAAACCCATAATATACAAGCTATGCTAACCCATTTTCATTTATCAGTAATCTAGGTAGGTAAGTCACGCAGTCAACAGTGTAGGTAGAGCATCTGCGCTAAAATTAACCATCATTCATTGGCATTTTGAATAACTTTTTAATATTGAATTTGATTTGTTTGTTTTAGAGAATTCTCCAAAGACTTCGAAATAATGCAACTGACACCTGAGCACGCACAAATAATTCACGATTTATACCCGGCGAACCACATGGAGTCCATAGAAGTTTTTGAAAAATTATTTAAAAACCTACCATCCTACGGAATCTTTTCGTCTTCCGGTGAGCTAGCGGCGTGGATGGTTCAATCTTACTACGGCGCCATGTTCTCCATGCAAACACGTCCAGAATATCGTAGAAAAGGATATGGAATGTACCTTGCAAAATACCTAACTGATGTAGTGATGAAACGTGGTTACCTGCCATTTGTTATAATTAGACCCGAAAACGACGCTTCGAAAAGTTTATATTCAAAATTGGGGTTTAAAAAGAACTTTGAAACGGTACGAGCCATTTTACGACCACACGTAATGGACAACGATGCGCAAGGTGGAGGAACTAGCAGCCCGTAATTGCTTCCAAAGCTGCCTCTGCACGATTTCGCAGTTTAAAGCTTCATTCAATCTCTCGCTTCTTCTACTGTTTTAGCAGTGATCATAAGACCAAGAGTGTAAATTATAGAGAAAATTACGAACAGCTCCTTTTAGAACATTTTTGATAAAAAATTTATAATATACTTGAACCTGTTTTTGTGATAACTACACTTTAAATTAAAAAATAGAATTTTAGTTAGGGAATGTAAGGGTACGTAATTGTATGTTTAAATTATTGCTCAACCTTCCTCATTGTGTGATTTATGTAGGTCCTCCTTTTTCTATTAACCTTAGTAGCTACTACTAGACAATCACCCGTAGATTTATCCGCTTTGATTTGGTACATTTATTTAAACAAACGTGATTGTAAAATTGTACAGAACGCCTAGAAATTGTATAGGTAAATTACCGGAAGGTATTCTTTACTTGAAGAATATTAGCCAACTTCGAATCTTATTGGTACCTACCTACCTACCTTGTAGAACTTTACAGGCTTGCTACTACTTAATACAAGCACGTCCATATTACATATAGATACCGACACGTGACATCAATCGATGGGAATTTTGCGGAGCTATTGTTTTGTAAGATTTGTAATTCGAGCTACAATTATCTATAAGTATACAGATAGTGCTTGCAGTGGTGGGAAGTGTCCAGAGTTGAATCGATAATATTGATTTTTAAGTATGTAGTAACGCGATTCTAATAATTCTTTGGATTCTGCCAGATCAGTTGTTTATCTTCAACTATATTATGATTTGATTAGCATTAAAGATCAACCGTTTAGTGTCGTTTCAGACACCTTATTCTGGGACATTGGTGTAAATTCCTATCGCATTGCACGTTAGGGACATTATGAAAAGACTTCGAGTAATGTAATATTAGTAAAGAAATAGTAATTATATTTTTTTAACTGATCGTAATTTCTCAAAAGTTTAGTATATGATGGTACAGAAACGATTTGAAATTTCAAGTGAGCACGAGTTTCCAAACCCGCAGTCTTTTGTTCTCTGCTAACTTCATTTAAATCTTTTTAAAAATTAGAGTTATACACAGTACAATTTAAAATTACCTAAATCTGCATAATTGCTATTTCTAAATATGACTGAGATAGTAGCATTAGACAGTAGAACATTGACGTTTGTTCGTTTTTGCAAGGCGTTTAAACTTTCAAATGACATCGAGCCCTGCATTCTTAGAAATATAGACAACTTTAACAATTGAAAACGTGCTTTACATTTGTCATATCTCATCTTTTTTGGAGATGTACCATTGAAAATGTAATTTTATAAGGCGATTGTTGTAGGCTGGCTGGTTTCTATTGCTTGCCCTTGATTTCCTATCTTGTACTTCTTCAGGAACATGTGACAGGTAACAGCAAACGGCCATTGTGATATTTATTTGTAGATTCATAAAGATATTCATATATTACTTAGATGGCAATCTAAATAAAAGTTGTACGCTAACTTTTAATTATATACTTTATGATTTTCTATCATCATTTTCTCACCTTACCTTTTTTTCCCTTACTTACCCTTATGCCCCGCCTCTTGGGGTAAAAGACTGCATTGCCTGTTTGGCGTGCAATCAAGCCCAGTGTTGCCACGTTGGCCATTGTCCCGAATTCAATTCAATTAGGCAATAAAATGTATTAAACACCTAACCCTAGTTTCATTGCAATATTACGTAATATTGTACAGCAAATTCTAAACGTTCACATTACAATACAGCTCAAAAATCACCTACTAGATCGTCTACTACAATCAAATTAAAGTAGACAACATAGGTATTTCATGAAATTGGATTTTATGATGAGCATAGCGATTATTTTACAGGAAATTTTGTTTGCTTTAATTTTGTATAAATGCCTACATACGCTGAGTTGTTTAATCATTAACAATCAATCATTACAATGCAATAATCCTTATGTCCTCAGAAAAAAAACATCAGTCTAATCCAATAATCAGTCAAAATATATAGTGCAGTTAAATAATAAATTAATAAATCTGCACCCGTCGAATGAATTTAATTAAATATTATACGTTATTCTCATTTAAACAATTTAATTAAAAAAATACTCTCGACCCGCATTTTAAGCTGCAGCACTAGCGCGCATTGGTCTCCTAGCAACTAAGCTTCGTACACATGTTTTTCAGTCACCATTGGCTAGCGGAAAAAACACAAGTATATGTATTTAAATTTGCCGCTCAACTTGAGCTACCGCGCATTCTGCTAGTGATTCATCCATCTAAACGATTGATAATGCAGTGTATGTTCTCATTTTGGAAAACAACATTGGCTTCCACTCCAAATATAGGGTTTCTGGAGCGTTTAAATATCTCCGGAATGCGTGGGTCGATCGGAGTAGTGAAATGTAAAAAGATTAAAGGGGACATTAGTCACATCGACTGGTAAAAATATGGTCCAAATCGGCCAAGTAGTTTTTCAGTTATCGCAAAGAAACCATTTTTAAAGAGGTGGGGTTGCGTTGGTCCACAGATCACATTTTTAACTGATTTGAACCATTCGATCACAACTATAATCCAATGGAGGCAGTTTATTTTGTTTTTATTATATTGTTTGGCCGGCAAAAATTAAAAAGTGAAACATTTTTTCCGGGAATCTTTCATTCTCTTATTATTTGTACAATAAATACTATAAAACGTCTATTGGCCTATTTTTTTTTTCAAAAAATTTTCGTTTATTTCCTCGCAAGTCGGAAGTAAATATCGTTCGTTAGACTACTTCCTCTAACTAAACGATCTAGTTCGGTCGACTTTTCCACACGTCTGTCGACGGTAGGACGACTGACAGTGTGTACAAAGGGGCAGGGGCAGAGACGTAATCAACGCGAGCTTATTACTCGCGCTTACTGATGGGAATACACAGTAAAAAATCTATTATTTACCGCTCAAAAAACGGCTTATTGTTAGGTACACGAAGAACATATCTTCGCACCTATGAATCAAACCAACAAGCGTTCGGACCTTAATAAATTTTGCCATAACCGTAGAATGGAATTACTTCAAGGAATAATTCGAGAAGGGAAGTGATAACAGATGGCGCTACCACACAACAAAATGGGCGGTGTAAACGGGGTTAAATTGTGTTTTGTATGTATCGTGCATACGTATTACCATTGAGTATTACTTACTGAGGCACACAACAATAATTCTTGCTCTTATTTTTTTTTAAAGAGGACGAATTTAACGTACATTCAGCCATAATGCTTATTATTTATCCCGTTTAGGTTAGTTACATATTTCTCCTACCTAAATAAGTGCAAGCAAACACTAAAAATTTGGCAACGCTGGGATTTCTGCCTTGAAATAGCCCCTTAGGCGTAGCGTACGCCAATGAAATTGAGAAAAAGCCTTTTAAGGTGGGTTCATAGCTCTCCGTTCATCCGTTGCGTTGATCCGTCACACGGATAGTAAATTTTGTTAAGGTTCATAGCAATCCGTCCACATTGTACATTTGCAACGTATAACCATAACCTAAATTTTATTTTGTACTGTACCCTTCGTGATTTTCAGCATGTAAAAATGGTACGAAAGTAAGAACACGTTGCTATCTGATTATTACCGTGAAGAACGAATAGGAGAATACTGTTAACGTACCAAACATAACCTCACTCTTGTTAAAAACGGACCAACGGAAACGTAAATGTTCAACTTCCACCAACTTTTCCGTCGTAAACGGACGACGTACGATTTAAAAATTTGCTGTCTTTTGATTGGCTAATGGACAAACGGAAATGTATGAACGGAGAGCTATGAACTTACCTTAGACCATATAGTACATGGACTGCTATTAGCCCTATGCTTTCAATACAAAATGGGTGGTCACGGATAGAGGGCACTGTAGTCGTGGGTATGTCATAGATATATAAATACATAGATACAGCCATACCCCAACATAGTTCAAAAGGACGTACCATCTATTACCATCACTTTCGGCACATTAATTACGTATAGCGCTATCCTTTATAGAGGTACCCTGAGCATGGAAGACAAGATTCGCATTATTTATTATAACTGTCAATCAAATTAGCACAAATCACACAGAAAATTATCAGATTTGAGACTTTACAACATAAATAAACCGCCTTTTTATTTATTTAAATCGCATAGCAGCAAGAAATGTTACATTTAAAATGGAAGATGTTACTTAGAAAGCTGGCAAAGGAAGAATTTGAAAAAATTACAGCTGACAACTGGAAGAAAGTGTGTGAACGTGTGGAAAGTGATTAATTTAAAAGAGAAGTTATATTGGTTGATGTTTCTGAACTTTATAATAAGTGTTAATAATGACAGTGATGATTCGGATTTGTCAATTTCATCTGACGATGATTCGGATTGTGAACTTTTGTAAATGTAATGAATGTTCACTAAATGAGTATTATCACCAATTGAATATCATTGCTAAGATGTTGTATTTATTTTAAATAAATGTACACGTGTAGCTTACTTACTACAATTAGCACTATAATTTCAAAAAGAAACTCCACCGATTGGACATATGCCGAAAGGTAGGCAAGACGCGTAGCGACCAAAATTTGATATTGCACGCACACACAGTCTATAAATCTCGTTTTCCTAAGAATATTGCACGGATCCTTCTTTGTGATCATGATACAAACGCACTGCATCAACATCATATAGGCCAAAATGATAATTGGAAACGAATTCACTTCCTGTCGCAACTCTCCGTTACCATTACGCCTAAAACCATGCAGTTAAAATTAAAATGTTGAACATAAACTTTACTTACTTACGGTTTTTTTGATATATATAGCCAGCAATAAATTCACTGCAGCACATCATGCCAAACAAGGTAAACATAGTCGCAAATTTGAATGGCGTAGCTCTATGTAATAAAACTATTTCAGGAATAACAATTATGGACGCGTCTATCATTATGGCAAATGTTATTCGTATTCAATTGATAACGCAATAATTGCATAATTTTTAGTGAAAAAACCGCCCATCATGTTTATGGCGAATATTTTTAGTTAGATTTGATTTCGCGCGATCGTGAGATGTGTGAACTGTCACATGACTTATGAGACGCGCCAAGTTTGTTTTAAGCGTCCGATTCGCGTACGACATAGTGGTTAATGCAATAAAAAGAGATAGAACATGTTTCTTCTTGGTTAGAAAGTAATGGAGAGATGTACAAATTTCTTTGATATGTTTTTTAAAAACCGAGGTACGTTTGTTAAGGATGGCTGTATCTAGGTATTTATATATCTATGGGGTATGTGAATCTCAGGGTAAACTAAGGTCGTTAGAACACCACTCGGATCGCGTAAAAAGCAGCTTTCTAGTAACCGCGTAGTACAGGAAGCTTTTATATACTCTTCATTATTTGCTATACGTTCACAAATAAGAATAAGTTTGCTTTTTTTGGGATATCTAGGCGATTAATTAATTGACGTTTGTGAATTTATAGGTTGACAGTCTCAAATCGTGTCTCATCGGACAACTTCGAACAGACTCGTTTACCTTGAAACTCGCATACCCAGGCGATGTCCTTGACCATATTTTAGTTACAATTAGCAGTCCATATACTATATGGTCTAAGGAAAAAGCACTAAAATTTGTTAGGCAACACACAATACATATGCAACACTATTCTCTATACCGTTGGATCTCTTATTATAGTTACTCTTTGATCTCAGGGTAAACTAAAGTTGTGTAAACACCTCTCGGATCGCATAAAGAGTAGCTTTTATAGTAACTGCGTAGTACGAGAAGCTTTAAATACTCATGATTATCTTCTATCCGTCCACAAATAAGAATAGGTTTGCTTTTTTGGCATATCTAGGCGATTAATTAAGTGACGTTTGTTAATTTATAGGTTGACAGGCTCAAATCGTGTCTAAGCGGACAACTTCGGACAGACTCGTTTACCCTCAAATTCACATACCCAGGCGATGTCCTTGACCATATTTTAGTTACAATTACAATTAGCAGTCCATGTACTATATGGTCTAAGATTCGCGCCCGTAGTTTTTGTTTCAATTTTGCTGCTACCATGGCCTAATAAGAGTACAGCCATGGCCTAATAAGAGTATGGTCTGCTATTCCCGTGAACGAAATCTCGCACAAGTCGCGCATGACGTCACGCGGTTGTGTACACTGAAATATTGTACACGCGCATATGAATAAATATGTGCTAATATTTCGATATTCCATTGCATATATGTGATAAATACGATTATATAGCTATATTACTTTATTACAATGGTCCATTGTGTGGTGTCTGGTTGCAATAATAACAATAGAAAAACTAAATACAAGTTAGTATAGATTTCCAAAACATGTTGCTTTTCAGCGGGGTATAATTGTATCGGCATCTGATTGATGGCTACACCTTCACTCAAAGATCTAACCGATCGTTAATAGATTTATATAACGACCTAATAAATAGGTAGATAGGTACGATACGGAATATGTTTTGACACCAAGATTTGTTGGTAAATATACCT